GTTTTGTTCCCTGGTTATTGTTATCTTTTAATGCATAAAAATCTGTCTCCCCCTGTGTTCGGGTCCAGTGCTGATCTGAGGAGACCTGTTCCACATTTGTTATGCAATTGGCATGCATAGATAGGCTACCCTCTGACCTAGAAATGGCACTACTGGGTCTGTACCCCAAAGAGACCAAAGAAAAAGGAAAAGGTTCTATGTAAATATAGAGCAAAGCAATGGAATATGAGGGGATGCCCATCAACTGGGGAATGGCTGAACAAGTTGTGGTATATGATTGTGACGGAATACTACTTTGCTATAAGAAACAATGAGCAAGTGCTTTCAGAAAAACCCGAGGAGACTTACATGAACTGATTCAGAATGAAGAAAGTAGAGGCAGGAGAACTTTGTACACAGTAACAGCAATTTTGTATGATGATAAGCTGTGAACGACTTAACTATTCTCAGCAATACAATGATCGTAGAAAAGACTTAATGATGAAAAATGCTATCTACCTCCAGAGAAAGAGCTGGAGTCTGAATGCAGATTGAAGTGTGCTTTTCAAACATTTTTATTATTCTTGTTCGTTTGCTTTTTGGTCTACATTTTCTTCTGCAACATGGCTAACATGAAAATGTTTTGCATGACTGCACATGCATAATCTATATCAAATTGCTTGCCTTCTCAAGGAGGGGAGAGGGGAGGAGAAAGGAAAGCAATACGGACCTCAAAATATTTTTTTAAATCAATGTTAAAATTTTTTGTTTATATGTAATTGAGAAAAAATAAAAATTAATTGTAAAAAATAAATAAATTGATATTCTAGAAAACTCGAACCTTTGTTTCCTTGGGCATTTCAGGTTTCACCCATAACAGTCTGTATCTGTCTGTCTGTCTATCTGTATCTACCTCTCTGTATCTGTCTATAATTATCTTTTATCTGTTCTGTTTGTCTGTCTATCTTTCTACTTATCTTTCTACTTATCTATCTGTATCTCAGTTCAATGCATTCTCACACTGGTACAGTCTTCTACAGGTTTAAATGGCCACAGCATCAGGCAGTAGAAAGAGACCCCACTTTGCAGATGGAGGAACTGGGTTTGAAACCAGTTTCTGTCTCTTCCCAGCCCTATGACTTCAGGGAAATTGCATTTCTCCTGTGCTATTCTGCTTCCCCATTTGTTTGTACCAGATAATTGACTTGTCACCACAGCCCTGTGAGAGAGGTGGCCAAAGTGTTATTATCCCACAGAGGGGAAGGAACCCACATGAGGTCACCCAGCAAGTCAGTTTCTGAGCAGAGACTTCAAGTTTGGTGTTCTCTGTCCCGGGGTCCTCCCACACTCTCCATTACTCCATTCTTTCTTTCTGTCTGTCTGTCTGTCCACAGCCTGCCTCCTGAAAGATTCTTCAGGCACTTAGAAAGAAGCTGATGTGAATGCACAGGCATGCTATGCATTGTAAGCACTGTCTGCAGGATTTCCAAAAAGGGCATCAGTTGGACCCCCGGAGCTGGCCTGGCCTTTGGGTGGTCTGTTGCTTCTTCAGAGAGTGACTACGGTGGGATGATCTGAGGTAATCCAAAGACTTGGAATTGGAAATCACCTTACGTGCTGGGAGAAATGATTATTTCTCTCTTGTATTTAACAACCAATTATTGTATTGGGAACAAGATTTTTCCCCTTCCCTACTTCCTCACCCAGGAACCAACCAGTGTGGCAAATCTTTCTAAAGCATTTGTCCAGCCAGGATGGCTAAGACTTAATCAGAGAGTAAGAGAAATTCCAAGTTTGGGTTAATGTGTGCATTCCTGTTTATTGTGTGTGCTCAGACAGGTCTGAGAAAGCATTGATTCTCTCTTTTGTCAGACAGGTGACATGGGAATGGATAAGTCTTTTTGACCAGGATTTGAGTGACCCAAGTCATACACCCCAAGACGCTCAGTTTAAGGTAGCCCACCCTCTCATAGTAATGTTCATTTTCTCATTAATTGTTAAGCAATCAGAGTTGATTGCCACCCTGAATAATAGCTGCTCTTCCAAGGGCAAATAAGCTGTGAGCCCACCTCTATGAGGGGACTTTGGTTGAAGAGAAAGCCAGGCAAATGACTGACCTTTTATTAAAATGCTGGCATTAGTATTAAAATCATTAAATTAACCAGAAATTATGTCTCAAGCCTTTTTCAATGCCACAATGCCATCTAGACCTTTTACATATGCATATAGAGAAATTGAGGAAGGGACATGAGCAAGGTTTTCAGGTAATAATAGCTAATATTTCTAGGTTTGTGTAGACAGCCAGCCACATGGTGCCATAGTGCACAGAGCACTAGACCTGGAGTCAGGAAGACCTGAGTTCAAATCCTGCTGCAGACACTTTCCTAATGTGTCACCCTAGGCAAGTCACTCTCTTTGACTCAGTTTACTCATCAGTAAAATGAGCATAATATTAACACCTACCTCCCAGGGTTGTTGTAAGGATGAAATGAGATAATATTTGTAAAGCGCTTGGGAAACCTTAAAGTGCCATGTAAATGCTAGTGACTACTATCAGGAGATAGCTCACCTTGGATCGTCGTATTATAGATTTAGAACTGAAAAGGAGCATTGGGATCCAATCTCCTCATGTTACAGCTGAAGAAACAGATGAGGCAGACAGAGATTAGGTGGTGGGATTCAAACTCAAGTATATACACTTAGCCACCAAGCTGTAGACACATGTGGTTTGGAAACCACACCCCCCACCTCCACTACCAGTGTTTCTGGTGCCCTGGCAACACCTGAGTGTGCCCTATAGAGCACAGAGTATCCCATTACAGTTTCTGTATGTCTCCTCAGCCCAGGTCACCATTCCCCCATGCCATTCCCTAGGCACTTCTGAGGCAATGTGGAAGAGTGGAAGGAAGGCTGATCATGGAGACAGAATTCAATCAAGCAAATGTTTATTAAATATGAAGTGTGGTGAAGGCGCTGGGGAGACCAAAGGAGGAAAGCAGGGCCTGTCCTCAAGGAGCTTACATTCCCCTAGGGTCTGGGGAAGAGGAGATACAATATATACACAGTTAAGTCATTCTAAGGTAAATCTGGTGTAGAGTTGGCCTCACCACTGGGAAACCTTAGGTTCAAGTCATGGGATCATAGAGGTGGAGCCATGAGCTACCTTCAAGATGATCTAGGGCAACTGCCTTTTCTTAGAGGTGAAGAAATTTTAAGCCAGGCTGGATAAGAGATTTGTGCAAGATCACAAGGGTAACGAGTGACAAAAGTGAGATTTGAACCCAGATCCTGTAAGTCCAGAGCCAGTGCTACTTGTCCCCTGGCTCAACTAGCTTTGTGATTCTGGGCATGTCATTAACCTCTTAGCACCCTAGGCAATTCAGGTAAGTAACTCTTTAAGGATGCATTGCTACATGGAGTTCCCTATGCCAATGAAATCACAGGAGAGGCAGATAGATGTAAAGACAAAGACAAAAATATAGAGTCAGGCTAATGTGAAAATATGCATAATACGAACATATAAGTAGAGCCTATATCAGATTACATGCTGTCTTGGGGAGGGGGGAGGAGAGGGAGGAGAAAATTTGAAACTCAAAATCTTATGGCAGTGAATGTTGAAAACTAGAAATAAATAAATTATTTTCAAAAAATATAGAGTCAGATAGACTAACAGAAAAGAAGGAAAGAAAAAAGAAGTAAGGAAGAGGAAAAATGAGCAGAAAAAAGCAAGGAAAGGCAGAAGGAAGGAAGGAAGGGAGAAAGGAAGAAAAAAGAAAAAGAAAGAAAGATAGAAAGAAAGAAAGAAAGAAAAAAAAAGACACTAGTAAGTAGGAGTTTGAGTCCTAGCCTTATTCCTTCCTGGTTGTGTATTTTATGCAGTGCTGTATAAAGAATAAAGTTCTCAACTCAGAATCAGAAACACCATGGTTTGATGTCTCCTCAGACATTTACTACATGTGTGCATACTTTAAGCAAATCACTGAATGTTTCTTGCCTTCCGTTTTCTTATCTATAGAAGGAGGGTTCTGGGCTCAGTAACCTCAAAGGTTCATTATGTGTCTACATCTATGATGCTATGTTTCCTTCTGAGCCTCAGTTTCCTCATGAGTGAAATGAGGTTGAACATACTCAAGCACAAAGCCAAAGGTTTACATAATTGGTGCTTAGTAACTACTAAGTTGAAATGTTTGATAAATGACCTTACTACTGAGACTTACCTAGTACTCTGATCTGTTTCTCTCTAATGCTCTTATGTATGATGACATATTAGCATTCTTTGTGTTTGTATCTTATTTCCTTGCTAGAATGGAAGCTGCATGGAAGTAGGGAATTTGGTTTATTCAAACACTGTTTCTCCCCCAGGGCACAGTGTAAAATGGGAAATTCTGGAGACTATGGCTCTAATCATGGAGCCCTTAGCAAAAGAACAGTAAAGAAGCTTAGCCAAGTGAGTCCAAGGGACTGACCCAAAGATGCTATGGCCTGTGAAGAGCTAACACCATTCAGTAGTAGAGTGCCCTAGCCTAGCAGTGGACTGGACGGGCATAGCAGCAGGGTCATCCATCTAGCACAGACACGTGCTCCACAGTGAACATTACAAGGACATTTCAGGAAAGACAAAAGTCATTGAGTCTCCGCAGTTCCGGATTTGTAAATTACCTTGGTCACATGTGTTCCCTGTACATGTGTTTCTTTATCATTCATTAATAGTTGCTGCTTACTTTCTCCCCCCCTTACAGATACAAACTGTGCATATTGGTGGGAAAGTGTGTCCCAGGTTTTGGGGAGGGATGCTTTGCAATTCTTGCTCTTGTTATGACTTTTGAATGCTATCAGGAAGCACACTGGTGGGGGCTCAGGAGCTGCAGTGTTAGAGATATGGTGGCCCATGAAAGTGACCGCTAGAGCCCCAGGTAGCAGATGACCCTCTGAGGATCACAATTACTGAAGAGGAGTCTATGTTTGAGGAGGGGCCGCTACACTAGGCTTTACTAGACTGAGACAAAAATAGGGAGTCAGACTAATGTGAAAATCTACTTTATCTCTTTACTAGACTGAAAGGTCCATGAGTATGGGGACTGTGTCTTATCCAAATCTGTCTGGAGCAGGTGTTTAATTCATGTTATGGAGGGGTGGAACTGACTTGCAGACCATCCAGTGTAGAACCCAGGCTGAGGCCTCAACAGTTGCTCATTGGAACTTAATCTCTGAGTACTCGGTGAGGGCGTCAGTGGATCCATGGTCTTCTCTTGGTTTCACTCCTTGGAAGTTGAGGCAGGCATAATGTAAGTCATCTGGTCTATCCTCTGGAGCTGCTGGGGTTAGGGTTGTGTCTGCACCTGGTGAAATGGGATCCAGGGACTGGTCCACCCAGGATGACCTCTTGGCATCCTGGAGAGAGGGCAAGGGGATGTTGAGGCAGGGCAGGTCCCCAGTGTCATGAGAGAAGGAGCAGAAGGTGGAGGGAGATGGTCTTGGGACACAGAGGGAGCTGGGGACTGAGAGAGTTGGGTGGACATTTAGGAGCTGGGGGCTGGCATGCTCTACCTGTGCTGTCCCACTGGATGCTGCTGCTGCTGCCGCCACTGACTTCTTCCTGAGCATCTTTACCCTGAGGAGGGAGAAAGGCAGTGTTGGTGCAGGGGAGAGAAATTGAGGCTCAGATCCAGAGAATGAGGGCCCTGTCACTCACTCTCTGCCTGACCCTGGGCATGTCCTTTTCCCTTAATGGCCTCTTCTTTCTTCAATTGTAAAATGAGGGTCCCTAAAGTCCCTTCCCCTGTGACATTCTCCTGTTCTGTGATCTCCAAGCACCAAATCTCCCAAACCTGTGAACCATGTGAGTGTCTAGAAAAGACCATGGGGCCAAGGATCAAGAGACTTGCACTTGCCACACTTTCCCTCTGGGGTGTTGGGTAAATCCCCTCCTCACTCTAGGCCTCAGTTTGCTCATCTGTAAAATGGGAGACTTGGATAAAATTGTTGCTAAGGGCTCTTCCAGGTCTACACCCTGTGATGCCATGGGATGATACTGCTTCCAATCATCAGGGCTTGAAAGCTTTACCCACTATGCTTCCCAAATGGGTCCTCACTGGAGCAAGGCAAGCCGTCGACTCCTTTGTAATAAATTCCCTATCTCACTAACCACAGCATGGACTCCAAACCCTCACATCTCTCCTCAGGCCTCTCATGGCACCTCACCCCTTCCCCTCTCAGCTGAGTACTGTGCCTCAGACTTCACCCAAAAGATTGAGGCCTTTGGCTGGGAACTTCTTCTTGTCCTCTCTACCTATCTACTGACTCCTGCCCCACTACCAATGAACATTTCTATGTTGCCTCCATCCTTAAGAAAGGCACATCACCAACCACCTCCTGAAAGAGATCCCAAAATGAAAACTCTTGAGGAATATGACAGCCAAACTCCAGAGCTCTGAGGTCAGTGGGAAAGTATTGCAAACAGCCAGAAAGAAACAATTCAAAAACTGTGGAACCACAGTCAGGATCCCACAAGATTGAGAATTAACAACTGTAAAGGGCTGCTAGGTGAGAGAGTGGACAGAGCACCAGGCCTGAAGTCACGAAGACTCATCTTGCTGAGTTCAAATTCAGCCTCAGACACTTTCTAGCTGTGTGACCCCAGGCCAGTCACTTAACCCTGTTTGCTTCTTTTTCTTCATCTATAAAGTGAGCTGGAGAAGGAAATGGTAAACAATTGTACTATCCTTGCCAAGAAAACCCCAAACGATGTCACAAAGAGTAAGATCCGAATGAAATGACTGAACAAAAACTTTAAAGAGGTGGGCAGCTTAGAATATGATGTTTCAGAAGGCAACCGAGGATAACAACCTAGCCGGAAAACAGATAATCTTTCCGGGGAAAAATGTACACTTAACGAGAGAGGAGAGTTTCAAGCATTCCTGATGAAAAGACCAGAGCTGAATAGAAAATTTGACATTCACACACAGGACTCAAGAGAAGCATAACAAGGTAAACATGAAAGAGAAATCATAAGGGACTCCATAAGGTTAAACTGTTACGTTCCTATATTCGAAGATGATACATGTAACTCCTGAGAACTTTAACATTATTGGGGCAGTGAAAAGGCTGATACATAGACAGAGGACCTGGGTATAAATGTTGTGTCGGGAAGATGTTAAAAGGAAGAGTAAGAAAGGGGGATTCACTGGGAGAAGGGGAAAGGGAGGAAAAGAATAGGGAAAATTATCACACATAAAAGAGGCAAGCAAGGAAGAGCTTCTACAATGGGAGGGGGGGATGGAGGGGAGGAGTGGTATCACTTGAACCTCATTCTCATCTGAACTGGCTCAAAGAGGGAACAGTACACACACTCACTCACACATGTACACACACACACACACAGAGTCAGGTTTAGAAATTCATCTTACCCAACAGGAAAGGAAGAGGGGGAGGAAGCCTAGCAATATCAGATCTCTACTACAAAGCAGTAATCATCAAAACAATCTCCTGTATAGGAATAGAGTGTTTGATTAGTGGAATAGGCACACAATATTCTAAAGTACATGATCACAGTGCCTAGAGTTGCTCAAAGACACACTCCAAGAACCAAACTATTGGGGTAAGAACTCACAATTCAATAAACACCACTGGGAAAACAGGAAAGAAGTCTGACAGAAATAAGGTAGAGACCAAATCTCACCTCATGTAGCATGATCAGCTCAAAATGGATACATGATTTAGATGCAAAGGATGATTTCATAAGCATATTAGAGGAGCATGGAACAATTCCTTATCAGATCTATTGATAAGGGAAGAGTCTATGGAAGAGATAGAGAAGATCATAGGAGGCAAAATGGATATTTTTGATTACATGAAATGAAAAAGTTTTTCCACAAACAAAACCAGTGAAGCCAATGTTAGAAGGAAAGCTGCAAACAGAATAAAAAATATCACTTTTCTTTGCTAGAAGTCTCATTTCTCAAATATACAGGAAACTGAGTCAAAGTATAAAAAAAAAGAAGAGACATTTTTCAATTAATAAATGGTCAAAGCATATGAACAGGCAGTTTTCAGAAAAATCAAAGCTCTCAATAATCCTCTGAAAAAATGCTCCATCACTAATCATTAGAGAAAAGCACATTAAAACAACTCTAAAGTACTACCAGATACATATTATACTAAGTATATATAACAGAAAAGAAAAGCGTCAAATACCGGAGTCAATGTGGAAAAATAGGGACAGTGATGCACTTTTGATGGAGCTGTGGACTGGAGAACTCTGGAGAACAATCTGGAACAATGCCTCCGAAGGGCTATAAAACTGTATACCTGTGATGCCCCAATACTGCTAGTAGGACTGGACTCCAAAGAGATCAAAGACAAAGGAAAAAGACCTGGACGTACAAAAAATATTTATAGCAGCTCTTTTGGAGGGGGCCAAAAATGGAAACTGAGGGAACACCGATCAATCAGGGAATGGCTGAATAAGTTGTGGTGTATGATTATGATGTAATACTATTTATTGGGCTGTAAGAAATGAAAAATGAATGAGTTCAGAAAAGCCTGGGAAGACTTATATGAACTGATGCAAAGTGAAGTGAGCAGAAGCAGGAGAACCTTGTGCACAGTAGCAGCACCCATTTATTGGGAGGATGAATAACCATGAAAGATTTAGCTCCTCTGATCAAGACCATAATCCAAAAAAAACCTCCAAAGGTCTCATGATGCAAAAGCTGTGCACTTCCCAGAGAGAACTGAGGAACTCTGATGTGGATTGAAGCATTTTTTCACTTTTCTTTTTCTTTTTTTCTTAGCTTTT